GGACCCAAATTCGGGACTGAGGACCCAAATTCGGGACTGAGGACCCAAATTCTGGGCTGGGATCTGCCTTTGGGGACAGAGATCCTTTCTTTGGGACTGGGAATGTTCCCCTTTGGCAACTGGGAATCAACTTTGGGATGGGGTCTCTGTGGTTTGAGGTCCCTGTGGGATCAGGGTCCCTGAGCTTTGGGGTCTCTGAGCTTTGGGGTCTCCGTGGTCTGGGGTCCCTGTGGGTTTGGGGTCCCTGAGCTTTGGGGTCTCTGAGCTTTGGGGTCTCTCTGGTTTGAGGTCCCTGTGGGTTTGGGGTCTCTGTGGTTTGGGGTCTCTGTGGTTTGGGGTCCCTGTGGGATCAGGGTCCCTGAGCTTTGGGGTCCCTGAGCTTTGGGGTCCCTGAGCTTTGGGGTCTCTGAGCTTTGGGGTCTCCGTGGTCTGGGGTCCCTGTGGGTTTGGGGTCCATGAGCTTTGGGGTCTCTGAGCTTTGGGGTCTCCGTGGTCTGGGGTCCCTCCCGTGCCCCTGTCCCGCAGAACTCTCCGGATGCTGCGGGAGAACCTGGAGGAGGAGGCCAAGATCATGCGGGACGTTCCGGGCTGGAAGGTTCGGCATTCCCGGGGGATGGGGGGGCTGCCCCGGGATCCCGCGGGATTTGGGATCCCCCGGAGCTCCGGGAGCGCTCGGATCCCTCGGTGCCCTCCCCCCATCGCTGCGGGAGCTCCTGCCCCTTCCCGAGGAGGTTCCCGACACAATTCCCTGCACAATTCCCTGCACAATTCCCTGCACAGTTCCCTGCACAGTTCCCTGCACAATTCCCTGCACAATTCCCTGCACAATTCCCTGCACAGTTCCCTGCACAGTTCCCTGCACAATTCCCTGCACAGTTCCCTGCACAATTCCCTGCACAATTCCCTGCACAGTTCCCTGCACAATTCCCTGCACAATTCCCAACACAGTTCCCTGCACAATTCCCGACACAATTCCCTGCACAATTCCCTGCACAGTTCCCTGCACAATTCCCGACACAATTCCCTGCACAATTCCCTGCACAGTTCCCTGCACAATTCCCTGCACAATTCCCTGCACAGTTCCCTGCACAATTCCCTACACAGTTCCCTGCACAGTTCCCTGCACAGTTCCCTGCACAATTCCCAACACAGTTCCCTGCACAGTTCCCTGCACAGTTCCCTGCACAATTCCTGACACAATTCCCTGCACAATTCCCTGCACAGTTCCCTGCACAGTTCCCTGCACAATTCCCGACACAGTTCCCTGCACAATTCCCTGCACAGTTCCCTGCACAGTTCCCTGCACAGTTCCCTGCACAATTCCCTGCACAATTCCCTGCACAATTCCCTGCACAGTTCCCTGCGCAGTTCCCTGCACAGTTCCCTGCACAATTCCCAGTGATTCCCAACGCAATTCCCGACACAGTTCCCTGCACAATTCCCGGCGATTTCCAGTACAATTCCCAGCACAATTCCGGGGATTCCCAGCACAATTCCCAGCAATTCCCAGTACACCTCCCAGCACAATTCCGGGCCTTCCTGGACGATTCCCGTCCCGGTTCCTGTCCCGGTTCCTGTCCCGGTTCCTGTCCCGGTTCCTGTCCCGGTTCCCGTCCCGGTTCCCGCCCGTTCCCGCCCGTTCCGGCCGTTGCAGGTGGGCGAGTCCCGTTTCCACACGGAGCGCTGGGTGCCGCC